TATATATATATATATATATATATATATATATATATATATATATATATGCCCAACAGCAGCAGCATGAACATGAGTCTGTGTGAGCAGATGAGTATGAATGAACATTCATAGTTCATAGTATAACTAAAAGAAAAAAACCTTTACCGACAAAAAATAGATTTTGGTAGTTCTGGTAATTTTCTAAAAAAGTGTTTTTGTGCACAAACATTTACCATCTTAGCTTTATTTCCAGCTGACTAGTCTCCATCTTGAAACTGCTCAACCAAAATCTAAACTTACTAGAATTCCTGGAATAAACATACATCATGTAATGTTGTTTTCTTCTTTACATTTCTTGTTTCCTCTAAAACTATTTGTGGCAAAGACGTAGATTCTAAATGGAAAGTTGTACAAACATTGACAATGCAGCTCTGTGGAATATATAAGTCAGTCTTGCAAGCACGATAATGCATTGAAATCACTCCCAGATGTTTTGTTTTCATTGTCCTGCTTTAGGGGTGCTCACATTTGCATCCATACTAACACAAGCAAAACCAAACAATACACTGCAACTATAATTCAAACTTTCTAAAGAATCATACAGGCTTTCAAGTCGGGTCTGTTTTGACGTTTTACTTCTTTCCATCGATCCATCTATTCATTATCTTCCGCTTGTTCCGAAATCGGGTCGCAAGGGCAGCAGCTTGCAGATCTTGACGATCAAGCAACCATTATAGAAGAGAGGCCTACAGGAAGGCAAACCCATGTTGCTCGTTTAGGCTGAGCCAGATCGAGCCAGACCGAGCCCCATGGGTAGAGCCCTGGTCACCAGGCACTCGTCAACAGACCATTCCCCCAGGCCTGGCTCCAGGGTAGAGCCCCGGCTACCCACATCTGGGCAAGAGACACTGAACTCCTTGCTTTTTTTCTGTCCATATGAGTTTTTGGAAGGTCCTCCTTAAATTGCCACTTATCATGGTGGAAAAGTTTGTGTGCCTGAATGATCCTAGGAGCTATGATGTTGAGGACAATTGTAATTGCCGCTGGTACGGTCTCCATGGTATATTGGTTCTAGGTGACAGGCCAGACAAAGAGCTAGTCCAAAAGCCCATAAAGACTAAAAAAACACTCATTTTAGTTTTTCTTTATTTTAGCAAACTGCCAATTAACACTTGAACATTTTAGTGTTTGAGAAAATTATCTGGTAGAAACTGTGGCAAAGCAGATTAGAATGATTCATTAGTGCTAAAATGATTTTAACTAATACATTTGTCACTTTAGGTTTGTGGTAACATTTGCAGATTATTGGTTTTCCTGGAATACGACTAAAGGTCTTGGATAATCTCTTTCCCTTGTAAAATATAAATTAAATTTTGTGTCTTGCTATGCCTTTATTTATTTCCAGTTAAAATCAGTCTAAAGTGTTTCCTTTTAGAGTGAGACAACTCTAAGGTGTAAGGCATCACGGTAAAATCAGGTTGACTACATGTCCAACACAGTTGGTAGCCAGTTTATTTTGTGTACAAATTTAATAGGAACTATCTGTGGTGGATGTAATTGGGATGTTTGGCCCAAATAAACTGAACCCTCAATATTTTACTGTGAAGAGGCTTGAACAATCAGTTAACTGTTGGACTGTTGCCATTCAATACCCTGAGCCAAGATTTGATGTGTTCAGTGTATCGGAGTTTGGCATAATGTTGCACAATGGCACCAAATAATGTGAAAAAAGTGACTGTTGGAAGCTCTTTACTGCAAATCCCTCTCCTTTACGAGTTTAAATTATTGAAACAAACAAAGCTGACAAAAACAATAGTTATGCTTTAAACTCCTCTGAGGAACATACAGCTTTGCTGTTTACTACTCCGATAACTCAGAGGGCTCCTTCCTGCTGTGAGCCGTCCTGTCTTCGCCTGCCAAATGTTTTTCCACTCAATGGGTTACCCACTGTGCAATTGAGCCGTCCTTAATCCCAACCCGAAGTTATGGGATGTAAAGAAATGAGATGCAGGTGATCTCTTGAAATTCAAAGCAGATTGTAAAGTTGAATTAGATTTGTTGTTAAAAACCCAAAGTGATTAAACTGAGCAGATTGAGATTCAGCTGGATTCAATTTAAATGTGTGTGTCACTGAAGACGTTGCTTTTTTATTTAAGAAAATACATCATTTATACAAAATACATAGCTTAGTGCATAACAAGTCACTTTATATTATTTTTTTACTCAAAGATCTAATATGTGTAACTATTTGTACCTATTTTATATGATAGTAAAAGTGTGTAAACAGATATCAAGTATACAGACAGCAGGGGTTTTATGGAAGGGCTTATAGTAGATACATGTTGGGACCTTAAATAGTGAAGGTGGTGGTATCTTGGTCTTCTGAACCAGACTGAGACTGGTTCTCACTGGGTGTGTGGAGTGCGATGTCCACTGCTGGCTCCTCGTTGACTTGTCTTGAGTGTCTTCCGAGTCGCTGTCCAAAGTGCTTAGCAGTTTTCAGGACATGTCCTCTGAAGGAAGACCCAATGAAGGCATAAAGGATTGGGTTGATGCAGGCGTGGCTGAGTGCCAGGCTCTCCGTCACCTGTAGAGCATGATCCAGGCCCTTACTGATGTCACAGTCTGTGACAAGATGATAGATGATGTCCATCGCTCGGCACAGCTTCACCACATTATA